TTTCTAGTAAAAGAAATTTGTGCAATATTGCCGCTTCGTGCTGTTAGACAAACTGTTTAAATTTTAAAAAGAATCTATTTAGACTATTTTTGGAATGATGGTCACAACGTTTCAATAAAAAAGGACGCGCCTGTTTCAATAAAAAAGGACGCGCCTGTTTCAATCGTGGGCGCCTTTTTTTCATCACCCTCTATAATTATTTAGTAGAGGTACAAAAATGTTGTCAATAAAAGCCACAAATAACATTAAACAGAGTTACAATTTAGAATACAGCTTTCTTGTTTCCTCTTCCAATAGCCTGTAGCAAAAAAACATGGAAAATTATTTTTCCAACAGAAGTAAATAGAGTCAAAGTGCAAAATTTAAATTCTCATAACTTCGAAATTTTTCTAGATAGAATTTTTTTTAAATTGCACGAGTTCTGGCGCACCTGTAGATTTGCTCGTTTGAGGTGAAGCAAAATATTTTATTCTTTTCCAGTTCTGGCAAATTTTTCTTCTCTTTTAAATTCAATCCGGGGACAAACTGTATAATTTTTTATTAGAAAAAATGTGTTTTTTTATTAAAGTTTATGCTATGAGGAAAAAAAACATTTGTGGTTTGAATTGAAATGAAGGCCATAATTACAGGAGGTTTTTTACATGTGGACCATTTCTCCCGGATTTACCCTAATAAAGACCAAAACAAAATAATACATTTATTGTTGCAATTTACTTTCAATGACATTGGCACCAACATTAAAAACAAGAAAAAACACTAGACTATTTTAACGCACCCAAATGAGTTTGTTAACAGCATTGCTAAAGACACAAAATAGAAACATGTGTTTTTTAAATTGAAATACACTCATGCAGAGGCGTAATTAGGAGTGGGCCCAGGTGATTCATTTCAGTTTTTGATTTTTCTTTCTTGTGTTGGCACAATCTCTAAATTTTGTTAGTTTTCCGTTGAAAATTTATCTTTTATCGAAATATGTAAAGATAATGCATTTCAAACTTACTTTAGCGATTTTCGTTTTGTTTTAATAAAATCTTTAATAAAATCTTCCGAATGAAAAATGCTTTAAATTTGTAGAAAAAAATGCAATTCAGATCTAGTTTTACAATTTACTACATTTTTTTAACAAAATATTTTAAAGTTAGTGAGTTTCTTAATGAAAAACACTCTAATCCATCAAAATTAGCAAAAATTACGCATGTTTGATTTAATTTGACAAAATTTCTGCTTTGTTTTGACAAAATCTCCTAAATTTTGTAAGTTTATCACTAAAAACGCTCTTAATTTAACTAAACTAGCAAAAATTTCATTTCAGATATAATGCGATTTTTTGCTTAAATTTTTTTAACATTTTAGTAAGTTTTTTTTAATAGAAAACGCTTCAAATCTATCAAAACAAGCGAAAATAACACATTTTAGGCTTAATTATACAATTTTTTTTGGTTTCTCAAAATCTTTCAAATTTATTGAGATTCTCGCTTAAAAAAACATTAAAGATTTATTCGATAAAAAACGTTTGATGTTTAAGGAAAATAAAACAAAAATAATGCATTATTCAATAAAAGTCCATGACAAAACAGCAAAACTTTTTTCTCTAAGAAAATTTTTTATTGTTATTGCAAATAAAGAGATTTTTTAAGCCGGTTTTTCTGAAGACATTTTTAATTTCCCTAACTGTTTTTTGAAGCCTGATATTTTGAAGTCTCGATTAATTTTTACATTTTTGAAAATTTCTGCAATAATTTTTTGTTTTGTTGCAAGTCTGGAATTTTTTAAATTGATATTTCTGGACAATGTTTAAGTCTCCTCAATTGTCTTTTGCAAAACTAACTTTTGAAAATTTTCAATTGACATTTTTTTAAATTTAGAGGAAACAACTTAACAAATCCAATTTACTCTAAACAAGGCAGAGCCTCACGAAATGATTAAGTATTTCGGCGGATTCATGTGTCATCCTCCAAAGCAGAGTGTTTTAATGCTCATTTTGAGAACAAGTCGCATTTTTTCATTTAATTGCGCGTTTTATATAAGTCACCAGCATTTAAATAACATACATTCCACATCAATTATTTTTGCGTATTTGATATTTTCGCAATTATTAATTTTAATAAGCAGTGTGACAAGACAAGGTGAAAAATTGGCCCTGTTTGGATTCGTTTACAAAACATAACATTGCACAGAGTTTTTTATTGAGGTGGTGACAAAACATTTTTTTTGCTACTTCAAGATGAAACATGTTTCAATTAGTCATTGAAAAACAATTTCATAATTTTTCTGGAAAAGACTGATAGCGATTGCACCTGCATAAACTGACCGATAAGGTTAATAAATAAATTTTCATTAGCGTCTTATTTTTTCAAAAAACAACTTTTTTTTAATTTTTGATTAAACTAATTTAAATCCCACAGTTTTCATCAGTCTTTTGTAGAAAATAAAATTTTAATAAGTCGAGTGTTTTTCCCTAAACTGGAATAATTATATTTAGATAAGAACACCTGTGAAACACTTGTCGCTTTCCTCAGACTATATAAACCGAAACCCAAATTAAAAATTTCAAATTGAATCAAAATGACAATCTCTGCTCTCCTCTTCATTGTTTTTCTTTTTGGGGGCGCCCACAGCACCATTGTTAGTAAATGTGAGTAAGATTTTTCTTTTTTTTGCAAATTATTAAAAAAAACTAGGCACCAATGGCCCTTTACCCGACGATGTCCAAATTGAAAACTGCGACGAGGAACCTTGCGTTTTTTATATCAACTCTGAGACCAGCATGACATTGAAATTCAAATCTCGTATGTATCCAAATTTCCATTTTTTTCAATGTTCTAAACAATTTTTTAGCTCGTAAATTAGTAAATATTGCCCCCAATGCTCTCGCTAATGTTATGGGTATAAATGTGACGTATCCTTTGGGTCAAGACAACGCTTGTGATGGTATTACCAACACCAAGTGTCCCATTGAAAAGGGGCAACAAGTTGAATATACCTATGGAATGACAATTTTGCCCATATTTCCCGAAGTGAGTCTTAATCTGGAATTCTCGCTTCAGGATAAGGACAATAACAATGAAAATGTGGAATGTTTCAAACTTGATATTCAGATAAAAAAGCCTTAAATGTAATTTTCCTTCCAAGTAAATAAAAAATTAGAAGTAGTTAGTGATTTTTTTCTTAAATTGGCATCACCAGTTTGGCAAACTGACTCAAATTCAAACGTCAAACTTTTGTTGGCAATTGTCAATCATTTGCGATCCTGATATAACAATAATTCAGTGTTGCCAATGGACGAATAGTTAAAAACCCTAGTTTATGACTTAATTAAAACGACTGTTTGTGTGATTAGTTGCAATGTTATGTAACATTCTTGTTTTTTTTTCAGATTCAATGTCAGCTGGGTCCAAGGCTGGAGGTTCCGCATTTGGGGCAATAAAAATTTGTCAAAAGTCACTCTGGTTTTATTTCTTCGTCCCTCATTAATGGTTGCAAAATAGTCTCAAAGAGATATTAATCATTTCTGATTAATCGACGCATTTGACTTGTTTTAAGGCATGCATACCAGCATGTAATAAATAACGTTAGAAGAAGGTGTCGATGGACTTGACTTTGATGAAGGCGGCTGCTTTTCCACCACACGGCTGGATATCGACGTCCCGGGGTTGTTTTAATTAAAAATAGTGTCGCATCACTGCGATACTCATCACAAAACTACTTTTGTCTTAAATTCTCATTAGTTTCAAAAGTTAAGGCCAAGTTCGGGACCAAGGAAAAGTTATTTTCATATAAATTGAACGGTTACTTTTTTCTTCAGCGAGCGTAAACAATATTTGCTTTTAATTGAAATTGTGTGTGGAACGAATTCAAGGACTTTAGACTGAGTTTGTTTTTATTAATCTTGTCATTACAACTAAAACTTCTTGAATAGTGTAAATGTTTGTGTTAAAAAAAAAGATGAATTATTGGGAATTTACGTTATCGCAAATGACTTTGACCCTTGAATTTGAGAGTCAAGGTTGTCAAACTAAGATTTTAAATGTGGCGCCAACTTGAGAATAAAAACAGTCATTTACAGTCACCCGGTATTTTCATATGTCAAGAAAGTTTCGTGTTAAATAATTTGTATTGGCAACACTTTATTTAAAAATTAAGTGATAATTGACAGGTCAAAAAAATCGAAAGCGTTAAGTTTTTTATTTCCTAGCCGTGTTTTCTGTTTTGTAATTAAATGACTTATGGAAAATTAACTTTGCCAGTGATTTTACATCATAACTGAATAACAGACAATTGCCTCTAAATTGCAAAACATTTTCACATTTGAATGTCAAGGCTGCCAAACTAAGGTTTTAAATTTAACGCCAACTTGAAAAAAAAAACATTCATTTGCAGTCACCCGGTTCTTTCATCTGTTGTGTCTAGTAAGTTTCATGTTAAATAATTTATATTGGCCACACTTTATTTAAAATTTAAGTGACAGTTGACATAAAAAAATCGAAAGCGTTAGTTTTCTTAATTTCCTTTCTAATTAAACAAATGAAAAATTAATTTCCATACCACCAGTAGAATTGTGACCTATTGCCAATAAGCCAACCAACGGACAATATGCTCAGAGCTGGTAACATTATTGCATAAAAGTTACCAAAAACAGTTTCAAAAAGTAACATCGAAATACCGTGTGATCAAATAAAAAATAAATTAGAGTAGGCGTCGATTAAATTATACAGTTGGCAACACATTGACTGGAATTTTTTCACACAAACTGAAAGTGAAAATGACCATCCACCGTTTTCCTCCTGTACAGAAATAAAAATTTTCTGCTCGGAAGTGAACATTATTTCACTCAAAAGGAATAAAACGCAAACTTGTCAAAGTTTCCGATAACATTTGATGTCAAAAATCAGGATTGCCATCTGAAAAACTTTAATCACCGCCTACTCTAATTTATTTTTTTTTGATCGCACGGTAGTAAAAATAGCTTTCCCTTTACATTGTGAGTAAAAAAAACACCATTTATTTTATAAAATTTATTAACAGTAACAGTAAATGGCCTTAAATAATAAAATAATTGGTACATATCCTAGTTCACTCCTAGTCCCGAGTCAAACAAAACACCTGACTCCTCTCCCCTTGGGCCCCTTAATTCGTCGGCGTAGACACATTGAGTAACAAGTTCTGCCCCCCTGGCAAATACGACACTTGCCTTGACCTCGACAACTGATACGCAATATCCTCCGCCGCCTCAATCCTCCTCAACTCCACCAACCCTTCTCCTGCATCCCCAAAGGCCTTCGCCAGCAAAATGGCGGCTTGAGCATCCCCCTCGGCCGAAATCACGGCCGCCTTTTTATTCTGCTCGGCCTTCTCCACCAAAAACCTCGCCTTCTCAGCCTCCTGCTGCGCCACCTGTTTTAACTCCACAGCCAGTGTGAATTCCCGTCCGAATGTCAAATGCGTGATGGAAATATCATCGAGGATAACCCCAAACTGCGACGCCCTCTCCGTGAGGTCCTCGCTGACCTTCTGCGAGACTAAATCACGCTGTGTGATGAGTTCCCCGGCGTCGAACTGCGCCACGACGGCTTTGAGGACTTCGGTGGTGATGGAAGGGAGGACGCGTTCTTCGTAGTCTTGCCCTAACACTGTGTAAATACGAGGGAGTTGGTCGGGCACGGGCCGGAAGAGAATACGAAGGGTGATGTTGACATTTTGGAGGTCTTTGCTTCCAGTGATGACGGGGACGTTGCGGGGGCGCGAACGCACGTCGAAGATGACGGGGCGTTGCACCCAAGGGATGAAAAAGTGGGTGCCCTCGCCGATCACCTGTTTTTTTATGCCAGAGAAGCGGTCGAAAATGACGGCGCGGTGGCCCCCATCGACTGTAAACACACTTTTACAAAACTGGAGTTTTTACGCAATTTTTACCATTGTATAACGCCGAATTGACAACGCCCCCGACTAGAGCTACCCCAAGGCCGAACTGACCAATTCTGTTAAATAACTGCGCCGCAGACATCGTTTATCTGAAAAAGTGTGAAAAATGTTAGGTTATGTCGGCCAAACTTGGTTTATCACAAAAAAATCCATGTGTGGTGTAAAAGACGTAATTAATACAAAAACATAACGTCTCTTACTATATTAAAAATAATTAATTACCTGTAATAAACTTAAAAACACAATAAATCAACCGGCAATCTCACGAGTCGCTCTTAAAACAAAATGGAAGACTTTGACATTTGACAGTGAAATTGGTGGTACCAATATTGGTAATGAAAATAACCGTATTTTGAATTTTTTAATTCGTAAACTTCGGAAAATGTTATCGGAACAATGTGATAATCAGTTTTACAACTAGTAAAGCGTGAATAAATCACACAAGAGTGGATTGTTTCATTATTTTTTCTTTGCTATTGGAATATTTTGTATTGTTGAGGTGACAGTTAATACCAAACTTGTTGACGAAAATAACTACACTTTGGAAAATAAGTTTGAATTTTTTATTAATGATTTTTGGAAAATTCAAAACAATGTGAAAAATAATCATTAACACTTTTACCTAATTACCAGTTTTATTTTTCCCGAAACAATTTTATAATCAAGAACTTACAAATGATAAACTACACGAATTGACAGTCTTTACGCTTGAAATTTAGAATTAAAACTCATGCACATTTTAACCCCTAAATCCCTAGTGAGCCTTTTCCTTTTGTGAGGCTGTGTTCCAGTAGTAGAGCAACTGTGCCACAAGGACCCCATTGGCTAAAGTGCTCGCAATATACGTTAGAATGACAATTTTATCTCCAGTTTCCTGAATAGAGGTAAAAATCCTCGCTAGGGACCCCATGAATAACATAATCAGAGTAGCAGCTGACAATTGACCTGTATTTCCATTTTTGTAATTACTATAAGCTTGAGTCAATTTCCCGCTAACTACAATGAAAATATTACAACCTTGCAATGTCCACAATACACTGAGAGGGGTCAAGCCACTCATTAAAATAAAATTGATTAACAAATAACCAACCAAGTAGAGGAGCGCTTTTGGGGTCGAGCCCCCATAATAGAGCACTAGAACCCCCACGAGGACTGTCTGTATTGCAAGAAACGCGGCATCGCCCCACGCACTGAACGGAAACTGTTTAAGAAAACTGTAAGATGCGTAAATTGTGATTGCAGTCAAGTCCAAAGTCACACTGAGCAAACTGATGCCTTCCCCGCTTTTGCTTCTGTAGATTTTGATAATTTGGGGCAATTTGACTAAAAGTGAGCCTAGAATTATGCCTAAACCTAGACATTTACTCAATGTTGATGAGAAACAGGGACCTGAAAAAAGTGTCAAATTGACATAACCTCACTTTGTGTACTCACCATCAAAAAAATTGAAATGAAGGAAATAATTGTCGTAGCAGTGGGGCGTAAATACTAATAAAAGGACTTGTCGAAAAAATTCTAGCGGTTGTGACCCCATTTTTGTGTCAAATGACAAGCTCAAATGAAAATGACACGTCAAGGTCGGTGGTGAGGTTAGGTCACGTTATTTATATTATTTGCGATTTTTGGTGATAAAACTAATTGTTTAAATTAAATAAACGTCATGGGTTCCTTTTGTCATCAGTTGTGATTAAATCACTTTATCTTGAGATTATTATCTAATTTTTGAATGTGAATCACCACGACCCATAACAGACTAAATCCATAACTTGGTCAAGTCATGTTAAGTCAACTGTTTAAGTTAAATAAACGTTATCGGTTTTTTTATTATCAATCCTGATTAAATTATTTTATTTTGAAATTTATTAATTTTGAATAATTGTTAACACCACGATTCATAAAGCGCAAGAACCATAACTCGGTTAAACAACTTGACAGAGGCGCGAAATTTCAAACGTCAAGATGAGTGTCCCATTGAAAAATGATTCCGTTATCGAAATATACCTTTCGCCAAAGAGCAAACGCAAGGTTTGGGACGCAAGCTCGGATTCGTGGCTGCCGTTCAAGACACCGTTTAGCCCCCCTGAGCCGAAAACCAAAAAACAACACGTTTATTTTCCTCGTGAATCGGTTTTAGAATCATATGCGGTACGTGAAATTTAGCTAAAAACGCGTTTAATTGTGCAATTTTAGAGTTTTTCGCTTGTTCCCCCCGTTAGTGAGGCTCCAAGTGCCTCCATTCTCAGTGTAAACACCCCGGACGAGATTCTTTCAATCAACGTAAACGAAATTCCAATTTTTGTATGTATCCGAAACAAAAATAAGTTTGTACGATGGACTTATGCGATTTTAATTTGTCATTTTTTGCTCATTTTAGCCCTTCTTTTGCTCACTAGATTCTAGTACGTATTGAAGAGAATTTTATTTTAAAAAACTCACGTTTTTTTTTACAGTCACCCAATTTGCGATTTCTTTCAGGAAAACTGGCTTATTTTATTCGTAATTTTCATGTGAGTATCATGAAAGCAAAGTAGAGACTCTTTATGTAGTTTCAGAATGATTTATTTGGCACTGGAAGTAATGTTGGTTTTTAGTATCAAACTGCGGCGTTATTTCCCGTCCAATTGTGTTGTTTTTTTGCTACTTGTGAGTAGTTTTCCTAATTTGTGGGTGATTTTAACTGTTTTCAGACTTTTTGTGTAGGAATAACTCTAGTTTCAAGCCACGCACCTTTGAATATCATCTGGTCAGCGATTTATGGCATATCTCTCACTGTTGTGGTTCTTTTTACAATAATACTACTTTCGTGCCAACACAAAGTAAAGATTAATTGGTAATAACCGATTTTTATTTCGTAATTTTCAGTGGGACGTAACTTCTAACTGTCTTCATGTTTTCACGTTTTTTTATGTAGCGTTTATCACCGGAATGGTTGTGATTGGGTTGAATTTTATTGATTTTACCGAATACGATCTCTTGTTTTTGCTTTTAACTTCGGCACTAATGCAGTTATTAATTATGGTGAGAGAAAAACTGAAATTGGTTAAAATTTATGATGCGTTTCAGTGGCTCCTATACATGACTCGTCAAATCGCAATTTGCGAGGAAGAGCGTCTTTTATTGCAAGAGTACATTTACGGGGCTATCACCCTTGCCATCCACCTCCCCCTCTTCCCCATGTCCATAATCAAGTTCATTAAATACTGTCGAAAACTATGATATTTGTCGTTTTATTTTCCTGTCATTGTTTTGACACTTTTCAAATTTCTCGAGTCATGCCCCGCTACGTCGGCAACTTGAACCAGCCCCAAGTGGCCTCCATCGCCCAAATGGGGGAAGCCCGCTCCCAGACGGTAAGGAGCCCCAATCCCGCCTCACCTCACCGATGCCTTCCAGGGGACCCCCTCGCGATACACCATCGGCGCCACTGTGAGTAGCTACTACGCGGAGGACGTCCTCCCCGAGGACCAGAGTGTGGTGACTCGCCTCTTCGCCTTGTCCTTCCGGAACTTGCGCAACCGGAACTGGTTCGTCCAGCACGTTTTCGTGATTGTGGGCTTGCAGATGCTCTTCTCGTTCGTGTTTTACTTCGTGACGCTTTACAAGCAAGTGGGTTTTGGGGCGATTGCATCGCTAAATGTGCTTTTGCAGGGATGGTGCCTCGAAGAGTCTGGCCAATAACTGGATCCTCTTGTTGGTCATTTTCACGTAGGTGTTCTTGTGGGGTTTTGTGAGAGTAATTGTGGGTTTTAGGGCGTTTTCGGTTGTGATTACGGCGTTTATGGTCTGCTGCTCGACTTGGATTCGGCAAAAACCGATTAATTTAATTTGCCTTTTTGTCATTGTAGGGGGGGTAAAAGGGGGTTTTGTTGATAAAAACTTGTTTGGTTTTAGACACTTTGCGTGATTCTCATGTTTGGAGCGCTTGCTAGTAAATTTAACTTCGCTTTAGTCATGACGAATCTCTTCGGATGTCTCACTGTGGTTTGTTTTATGATTTCGTTGATTGCGTCACAGAAAAAAGTTAAGTATTTTTATTTTGAAAAGTTTTAATAATTCGGGCTTGGCAGTGGGAAATTATGAGTCTGAATATGTGTGGTGTTATTATGGCTATCACTGTTGTTGTGTGTGGAGTCGTCGCATTTGGCTTGTATTTTTTATGTAAAGATCTATTTCGTTGGGATTTCATAGTCGTTTCAACGATTCTAACTATTCTGGATGTTGCGGTAAGACCACCATTTTGTTGGAAAACAAATTGTTTTCTAATTTTACAGTTTATGATACTTCTTATGAGACAAATTATAAAAGAACAAATATTGAACACATCCGATTTTGTTTTTGGAGCAATTGTAATGTACATGAGCATAACGACTTTATACGTCTTCAAGGCCATAACCATATTATTTAGGGATAGAAAACCACCAGATGACACTGTTTTAGAAAGCTGAATTTATTGTATTTTAAGTGTAATTTAAATAAATGTTGGTTAGTAAAAATAAATTTGAATTTGACAACCATGGTCGCCAACCTAAAATTCAAATTTAGTACCAATCTGACAACGTAAAAATTTTACAAAATTAATTGTAGTTTTAAAATTGAGGTTAATGGAAATAGAGTTTTACCTCAATTGAAAAAATAACGCAAATCCTGAAACCAAATAAAACGGTTTATCAATATTTATTACTTAAAAAGAGTAGAAAACTGTATTTTGACAGTTCGGAAAAACTTTACTAGGTAGCGCTTCAACTAAAAATTTTAATTTAAATTTAAAAACAGGTTTACCATTATTTATAATTTGTCACAAAACTGTCATTATGAGAAATCTTGACCTGTCACAACGTCTCCAAAATGGGTGACACCACCCCCGAAAAAGTCAAAGATGGTTCCCCACAACTCCCCCAACCCGAAACAGAACTTGAAGTCCTTGTAATTCCCTACCAACAACCCCAACAGCCTCCCCCATACCCCGGCCAACCGCCCTATCAACCCCAACAAGCTTACTACTACCCCGACCCCACTTACGACCAACGACGAACCCCCGTCTACCAGCAAAGAACCTACCAAGAGCCTTACGTAAGTACATCAAAATTTTGATAAGATTTAACAATTTTTTAGGGTGGTTACCCCCAACCGATAAATGTCGCTCACGCACCCCCAGTAAGGCAACGCCAGTCTGACTTTGGTTTCAACTTTTTCGGTGGTGGAGAAATTTTTACTGATGCTTTTGATACTATCAAGATTCGTAATCGGTTTGTACAGAGGGTGTACACAATTTTGTCAGCGCAATTGGCCTTCACCTTCGCCTTTGTCTTTCTTGTGGCCTATGAGTGCGTAAAGGTTTTTGAATATTTGGAGCTTAATTGGATTTTTAGGAAAAACACGAGGATTTTTATGATTCTATATGGATTCCCTATTATGATTGGTGCCATGTACGTGTCGTAGTCTCCCTATACAGGGTGCGCCAGAACTCGCGCCTCAGAGAAAATTTTCAAGTAAGGTAAGACACCAGGAACATGAAAAAAAAAATTTTTTAATTCTATCTGTCAAAATTTTTTGACATTTGACATTTTTTTATTTCTATTTAATGATACTGATGATCTTGTATATGTTTTTTTACAATTATTTAGTAAAGGGACAAAAATTTTGCCAATAAAAGCCACAAATAACATTGAACAGAGTTACAATTTAGGATACAGCTTTCTTGTTTCCTCGTTTAATAGCCTATAGCAAAAATACTTGGAAAATTATTTTTCCAACAGAAATAAATAGAGTCAAAGTGTAAACTTTAAACCCTCGTAACTTCGAAATTTTTATAGATAAAATTTTCCATGTTCCTGGTATCTTACCTTATATGGTATTTTTCTCTGGGGCGCGAGTTCTGGCGCATTCTGTACACACAACTTTTAAAAAATAAGTTATCAATGCGTTCTTAGTCAGGCAACCAGTTATACACCAAAAAAGAAACCTGTAACTTGGAGACTACTAAAAATGAGACTGAAAATATATTTCGGTAAAAGACTGTTATTTCAGGATTGTCTTCTTCACTGTTTATTGCTGCGTGGTGTGCACTCAAGTCCGACATCATTTCCCTTTAAATTTTATTTTATTGGCGATTCTAGTAATGCGATACCACAACCTGAAAACTTTTCTCATTTCAATTTCCAGACAATTGCAATGACTCTACTTTTAATGGGTCTCTGTGCAAGAGTACCATCCCTGATCATTTTATGCGCAGTTGGTACTACTGCAGCTTTATGTACAATGGTGTCCCTATTTGCAATACAAACTAAGGTTGAACTAAAATACTTTTGAAACTAAATTAACTTTTTTTTTAGTGGGATGTTACAGGTTGTGGAATGTGTCTCTGTATAGCGACTGGTATGTTAGTTCTCTATGGTCTGGTAATCATGATTTTGGCTCTTGTGGGCATACGAATGCCCATTTTACACGTCGTGTATTCGGCTATTGCCACTCTAATTTTTACTTTTGTAAGAATCAAATTTAGTCAAAAAACAAACTTAATTTTTTTTAGTGGCTGATGTATGACACTCAGATGATTGTTGGGGGGCGACGACTGGAACTATCACCCGAGGAATACATCGTGGGGGCTCTGAGTCTCTACATTGACATTGTTTACATTTTTATGCACCTGCTTCAATTGTACCAATATTGCATGGGGGGTGATAATTGATTTTTTTCCGTCAAATTGGCAACTGTAAAATTATAAAATATATTTTAGTTACACTGTAATAACTCTGATTTTTGGATAAATGCAAAATAGAGTCAACTGGAAACCGGATAAGACGCACCCTAAAAAGTTTGGTATCTGGAAAAAAAAACAATATAATTTTGTGTTTTTTTCCCTTGTGTTGCCAAACCTGTATAAATTTATCCTCTAGTATAACTCCATAAACAAGCCACTGCATTGAGACAATAAAACTGGCCAAAATGATGGGAAACGGCAGACTTTCAGTGTCTTTCACCCTAACAACGTGCAGTAGTGAGGCAAGTGGGGCGGCAAAGAACAAGATTGTTACAAAACAACACACAATTCCCAAGGAACTTTTCGCTTCTTCAAAATTCTCTCGGTGTTGGATGTAGACCAAAGTCGCGACCAAAACGGTTACACAACCGGCAACTTGGCGTAATACTGATGACTAAAAACGATTTTCTCGAATGAGTAATAATTAATCAACGAAATATTCACCTTCTTGATACTATACATGACGAATGTGACAACATAGGCAAAAAATAAACTGACTCCGATCGTATTCACCAAAATTATGGAACGGTCTTCGATAAAAAAACCATAACGGAGCCACAGACTCGTCGATAAACAACCACTAACAAAGGGAAATGGGGAAATATCGCCCGTGCTTTTATTTCTCGAGATTTTTAAACAAATCAAGCTGAAAATTCACAAATTCATTATTGGTTTTTACCAGACTTGTCGCCCTTACGTTCCACTTAAGAACTGCAAAATTGTAGAGATTGAGGCTGTGGTGGCAATCACATTTTTGTAATCTTCCAACATTATTGCACATTTTTGAGGACTGATTACAAATATTGATAACGTGGATAAACGTCAAAATGCGAGAAGTAGGCAACACAGAATACACAAAAATGCCCGACAATGTGCAAATAGACGAAACTCCATCTATTTTTATTAATTTCCCAACATAAAACACGTATTAACATAAATGTAGTTTGAAAAATTTGTGTAAACAATAATAATAAAAATGAAACAATTTAGTGTGGTGTTATTTTTATGTTTCGCTCATCTGTTGTTTCGGTCCTTAATACGATTTTTTAAAATTATTTAAATTGTAATTAAGAAATTAGCAAACACGTTTTGGGGAATGACTGGGTGTTTTATTTAATTGTAGTAATTTGTTGTAAAAAGCATGTTTAATATAGATAGTTGTATTTTGTCCATTTCATAAGTATGGATAGTTGCTTGTATGGATTATGCGTGGCCTAAACGTCAGAGATATGTGTACGTCCTTCCACCGAATTAAGAAAATCGGTTTTTCGCTCAGTTCTCTTTAATATCTTGTGCGATAAAGCAGTTTTTTCAGTGCTTCAAGTGATTTTTTAAACGTGAAACCGTCATAACCGTTCAAACCTCACCGAAAAATGCTCAAACCATCCCAGTTTTACAACCTACCAATCAAGCTTATCTATTTATAAACCATTTTCAGTATTTCGAACCCTTTAGTGCTGTCTGACAATGGCAACCCTTCAGAAAAAGTCATGGAAGCTCCGTAAGTCAGTCTAACCTGAAAAAACCGTAATAATATCTCAATTTCAGAGGAGTTGATGGCCCACGACGCCAAAGTGAACTGTCTGTCTTTGGGGCACAAATCGGGCCGCGTGATGGTGACCGGGGGCGACGACAAGAAGGTCAACTTGTGGGCCATCGGCAAGCACACTTGCTTCATGAGTTTGAGTGGCCACACAACCCCCATTGAGTGCGTCCAATTCAACCAGTTTGAGGAGCTGGTTTGTGCCGGTTCCAGGGCCGGAGCCCTCAAAGTCTGGGACTTGGAGGCGGCGAAACTCGTTCGCACCCTCAACGGGCATAAAAACGCCCTCAAATGTGTGGATTTTCACCCGTATGGCGATTTTCTCGCCTCGGGGAGCGCTGATTGTTCGATCAAAATGTGGGATAGTAGGAAAAAGGGCTGTATTTTTACCTACAACGGTCACAAGGGTACCATCAACAGTCTGAAATTCAGCCCAGATGGGCACTGGATTGCCTCCGGGGGCGACGACGCTACGCTGAAAATCTGGGATTTGAGGGTTGGGAGGGTGTTGAAGGATTTCGGGGAGCATTTGAATTCGGTGACTTGTGTCGAGTTTCATCCACATGAGTTTTTATTAGCGTCGGGAAGTGCCGATCGGTCGGTGCAGTTTTTCGATTTGGAGAATTTTACTGTAGTGTCGAGTGAGAGGGATTTGGGATTAGTGAGGTGTATGTGCTTTAATCCCGATGGGGAGAGGCTGTTTGTGGGGCTTAGGGATTATTTGAAAGTTGTGGGATGGGAGCCCAATAGGCTTTTTGATTCCGTGATGGTTAATTGGAGTGGCGTGGCTGATATTTCTATCGCTCAAAATCAACTGGTAAGTATTTGAAAAAAAAAAACACAATTTTTGTTCAAATTATTACATCAGATGTCTAATTTTAATTCTGAAAGTCTGTTACATCAGAGCACAAACGTAATTTGCAATTTATATTCAACTTTATTTGTTTTCTTAAGTCGATTACAAAAATTTTGTGCATCGGGTCAAAAAACTAAATATAAATCGATTTGTTTCAAGGTTGAGAAAAACCTTTCTCTGACGATTTATTATTGAAAACTTTCGCTAATGCAGCACGTATGGAAAGGTACGAAATCAATTCTTGTACAGTGTTGCCAGATCAGATCAAATGTCACCAGATCTGGTGATTTTCATACTAGTCAGGTGCTTTTTTGGAAATGAAAAACTGTTGTAACTCTGTGGTTAAATCAGGTTAATAATTTCGCATTTTTTCGAGCATTTTACACGTTCTTCAGCCAAAACTTGACAATTTCGTAATTTTTTTTATCTGTTTTTTTACATTTCGAATGCTTTACATTTTTAGCTTTGAAACGTAAAATTTCGAACAAAGCGAAAATCTAACAAAATTGGCCAAAACGGCGTTATTTTTGCCTTTTTCAAGTGTTTTAGTACGTTTTTGAGATAAAAACAAAAAAAATCAAAATTTTTGTTTAGCGGGCGGAAAAATTACAAAATTAAATCGAAATTGATTTTATTTTTTAATTCATTTTTGAACCAGAGGCTCTTTTATTTCACAAATTGCTTAAAAAGTGGAAAAATAAATTGAAATTGATGTTATTTTGTTTATTTTGCTCGATTTAACTAGCTTTTGTGCAAAATTGAGTCAAAAATAAGCTGAGAAAACACAAAATTTGGCCGAAAATGCTTTTAAGCAAGATTTTGTACTAGAATATCAGATTTCTTGTGAAATTTTGCTAAAACACCTAAAAAGTCAACAGTATAAATCGAAAATTATATTATTTTTGCAATTTTTGAACATTCTACTACATTTTCTTTGTAAAATTTTGTTAAAAATAAGCCGAATATTCAACAGTTTTTGTAAAAATGGTGTTTTTTGCTTTTTCCGAGTGTTTATAACCATGTAATTAAAATAAAACCAAACTATAAATTTTTTGAAAAATTTTGTTTAAACAAGGTGATAAATTACAAAATTAAATTGAAATTGATGTTATTACTTTTTTAAATTTCGCTCGGTTTAAGTAGTTTTTTTATCACAATTAAGGCAAAAATAACCCGAGAAAATACAAAATTTGATCGGATTGGTACCAAAACTCAGGTTTTTGCGAGATTTTGTTAAAACAACCAAAAAATCAACAAATTAATAAGTTGAAAATTTTATTATATTTTTACAATTTTCGAATGTTTTGTAACGCAATTATTTCGAAAATTTTCGTTAAAAAAATACTAAAAATTTAACAAATTTGACCAAAAATGGTATTTTGTGCTTTTTCCAAGTGTTTAATTTAGAGGTAAAACCCAAAAGTTTTCAAAGAATTTCGTTTAAACAGGCTGACTTTGATGTTATTTTGTTCATTTTAAGTCAAAACCCAAAAATTTTCGAAAAACTTCATTTAAACAGGTTGAAAAATTTCGACTTTGATGTTATTTTGTTCATTTTGAGTCAAGAATGAGCCGAGAAAACACAAAATTTGATCCAGAATGCTTCTAAGCAACTTTTTGTACTAAAATTTCGTTAAAATAAACCGAAAAATCTATAAATCAAGTCAAAAATTGTATTATTTGTGCATTTTTCGAACGTTTCAGTACGTTTT